TATGGTGTATCTGATAACATCTTTAGGATTATTAAATCCTTTCTTTTCAAATCGTAGTATAAAAGATGTCCTCGATGGACAGCACTCTTCTTATTATTCTGTAACTTCAGGGGTTCCTCATGGTTTAATCCTTTGCCCTATACTCTTTTTAATTTACATTAACAAGCTTCCAGATATTCTCACATCTAAGGTGACATTGTTCGCTGATGATACTACCATTTTTTTTTATCATGATAAGAAGCCAACACTCTCTGATTGCTTGGAGGGGGCATTTGAGCTTGAAAAAATCGTATTCCTCTAGTTTTTCCTCTTAAACATCAGTTCTTTGGAATTCGTTTCCTTCATCTTGCTTTGCTGATTCATATTATTAGCAATCCTTTATGTAGTTATTTATCCTTATAATCCTTATGTTATCTTGCTCTGCAATCTTCATCGTTTGTCTTCCAGTAATTTCCAACTCTAAATAGTGGTTGGTAGCAGCCTTGTTGGAAGCGAAGATGTTTAAAAGAAAAAAAAAATTTTGGAGATTAAAAAATATTTTTTAATAATTTTGAGAAAAAAAGATTTATTTATAAGAAAGTTTAGAAGTGAAAACTTTCATTTCATGTCAAATGAGAAAGAAAATGCAGTTAAAAAGTTTAAATGTGAAATCTTTACTATAAGAAAAGATAATTTTCTTACATCATTGAAAAACCTAGACAATGAAGTGCTCAATTTAATTTTTAATCCTGCCTTGATTGATGAACTTCACAAAAAGTTAATTCATCAATATCAAGAATGCAAAGATGAAGATATTGAACGCATCAATAAAAAATGGTAAAAAAAAGTGAGTTCTACTAAAATTGCTTTTGAAAATAATAAAAAGTATTTAAATTCTAAAAAATATTCATCACACAACATAATCATTTTGATTGAAGTTCTATTGTATCAAATAATGACCAAGAAACAAAATCAATAAAATCAAAAACAGTCAAAAAACCGGACAAGCCCAAATACAAAAAAATACAACTTAAGGTCATCAACCTATCCACCAAACACAGGACATCTTAAATATCTCTTCTCACCAAAGTCCAAAATTTTACCTGGCTACAAATGGTTATTTCTTACATATTGATTCAGGTATTGAAAATTTTACAAGAAAACTTATATTAAAAGAAAAATTTTATTGTACCACAAGTAATAATATTAGTATAACTAAAAATAAATCTGATTATTGTACCAAAACCACTCTGCCAGTATTAAATGAAATTATTTCACAAATTGAACAAGCTAAACCTATTTAAGTTCAATATATTGATAACATTACAAAACAAGAAAGAGCAGCAATTGAAGAATAACAAGAAATGAAAGACAAAGTCATTAAAAAAACTGACAAAGGTAATACTTTAGTTGTAATGGATATAATATATTATACTAATTTTAAATTAGTTCATCTATTTTAAATTAGACCATCTTTTTTTCTGTAAATACACATGAAATAATACATTCTGAATGTGATAAAATACCTTTTAGCAATCTGGTTGAATAGATAAACAAACATAAATACCTCACGACAAATGGGATATATATATATCTCAAACTTTAAATGGAAATCTAGTAATTTCTATGTAATTCCTAAAATTCACAAATGTCAAGAAATTATTATTAAGGTAAAAAAGTCCAACTCTTAATTTTTTGAAATGAAACCACCAAAGGATCTTAAAGGTAGACCAATTATTGCGATATATATATATATATATATATATATATATATATATATATATATATATATATATATATATATATATATATATATATATATATCGCTAGATTATTTATAGTTATATATTATATATATAAACAGTTTTAGATAAATAAAATAAAACTATAAATAACTTGAAAAATTTAGTTTAAATCAGAGTTTTTCAAAGATTTTTTATAAAGTTTTTGAAATAAGAATTTTGGATAGTGATAAAGTAATGTTATTGTCTTTAAAATGTCAGAGAGGAGAAAGGAGATTGATACACAGGGCTCAATTTAAATATTTATAAAGTCCCTGACAAAATGTCTGATCTTGTTTGGATCAGACAGTGTCCGATCAAATTTTGCTCGCTTTTATGGAACCAATCAAAATCTTTGTCATGTTATTCAGTTTATTTATTGTTAGTCTAGTGAAGTTGTAATTTCTTTTCGTTTCTATTTAGAATAATTCATCATAGATTTTTGTTTTTTAATAAAATAGTATTTATTTAACATTGTACATTTTTTTAAATAGACTTAAAATTTCATGCTGATTTCAAAATTTCATGCAAAATTTCATGCTGATACTGACAAAGCTTATTATTTTTATTTTTTTTCATTACAATTTATATGCAATTTAAAAAAATCATTATGTTATGAATAACTTTAAATCATTGATCTTTTTTAAAGTTTTTTATTTTACGCGAAGGTTTTAAATAAAAAAAAATCAAAAATAAGTTATAATTATCGTTTAAAAATAAACGTATTTTTTATGATAAATTTAAATGTTTTTAAACCAATTTTCCATGTCGTTCTAAAAATCTTTCATAAGATTTTTTTTTTAAGTTACTTTAAATTAAATTAAAGAATAAGTTCAATTATATCTTGCCATGATTTAATTGCTTTATTTTTTTTTTTTTTGTTTCTATTTTTACAAAGAATTGTTAAAGACTTTTTTTAAACTAAATCATAAAATGATTAAAAATTACGATATTAAAAAGACAATATTTTTTTAAACAATTTTTGCAACTTTTTGAAAAAAATGTTTATACTAATTAAAAATGTTAATTTTTTTTTCTTCAATAATAAATAAATTTGTTCATTTATTTGACAATCAATAGAAGTTATTTGTAAAAGCGTTTTGCATAACTTTTATTAAACATAAGATCAGCTTTAAAGTAATTTTTTTCAAATGTAATTGAAAACTTTCTGGTATACTAATGCAACATTGCTAAACAACAAGTTTGATGAATTATTAATTGATATTGAAGTTAAGCAACCACATATGTAATGATATGTGAAACATGGCAAAATGAATCGTCAAAAACAAATATTTCCAGTTATTTCCTTTCCAGACAAAACAGACTGATTAATAAGGGAAATGGAGAATGCATTTAGAATCATGAAAGCATCAGTTTATATAATTTGACTAATAGTTATTTACATAATGACAATAAATTTGAGTAAATATGATGCTCGGTTTGTTCAGTTTCAGAAATAATTTTTTTTGGGTTATTTATTGAGTAGAAGCTTGTTTTGAGGGAAATAACAAGCAAATAGTAGATTCAATCAATTACTCCTTTAAGTTGTTTAAAAAAACTAATTTCAGGTTTATATATGTGGTAACTTTAAATAGTTAACATATAATGAACTCAAAATATAAATCAACTAATATTTCAAATAAATAAAAAGGATTCAGCAAATATATTAGACTTGATATCAGAACCTTTGACTGGAGTTTTCAAATAAAGCACGTCATAGATATTAAACTTTTTTTGAATGTTTCTTGAATATTTTAATATTCTTTTTTTGTTTGTTTTTTCTTTTAAAAAATAGATTAAAATGTTGAACATAACGGGAATTACCCGCTATGTTCAATGTATAACTTGTCTGAAAACAACATAACAGTATTTGCCATTATGTTTTTTTCATACAAATTATAAAATAACATAATTACCCATTACAAAACACAAAATCTAGCATTATATTTTTAAAAATTTAACAGGTATTTTTTTTACTGTGTTTTATACTTGAAAATTATTTTTTAGGTTTTTTAAGATGCAATTATGGATAAAATGTGGTATTATAAAAATTTAATGTCAACATTTTAAGCTTAGAGTTGTATACAACAACATTTTGTGAAATTTCGCTTTTAAAATAAGAGCTTAAATAAGTTTTCTGAAATTTTTTTTTTTAATATAGAACTTCAAAGTATGAACAAAACATTTTTTCATTACTGAAGATTTTCTTTTTGGAAAGCATATAGATTTTATGCTGAAATTTTTAGGAATTGCTTTATATATATATATATATATGTATATATATATATATATATATATATATATATATATATATATATATATATATATATATATATATATATATATATATATATATACATATATATATATATATATATATATATATATATATATATATATATATATATATATATATATATATATATATATATATATATATATATATATATATATATATATAGTAAAAAAAGTCTCTTTCGACTACAATTTTTATTACCTCGTCTTTTAAGCTATTTGATTGTCATCGAAATGTCAAAGCAATTAAATTAATGCGGAAGTACATTAAATTTTATTGTTTTTTAAAAAAACCGCAATAATAATGACTAGAAAGTTTTTTTTAATTAGTGGTGTTTTTGTTTTTGTTTTATTAAAAAACATTTTCAAAACATGCGTAAGTGTTGCTACATCGAATACCTTATAGCCTGCTGCTACAAGGGAGTGTTGCTACATCAACTATCTTATAACCTGACTCACAACGGAGTGCTGCTACATCGACTGACAAATAGCCTGACTCGCAAGGGAGTGCTGCTACATCGACTGCTACCATGCAAGACTATATATATATATATATATATATATATATATATATATATATATATATATATATATATATATATATATATATATATATATATATATATATATACATATATATATATATATATATATATATATATATATATATATATATATATATACATATATATATATATATATATATATATATATATATATATATATACATATATATATATTGAATACAAACATAAATATAAGACAACTAATGAAGCAATATATTTTAACTCAGAGTAAATGAAAAAAATTAAATTCAGTTTTGTCAATTAAATAAATAGTCAATTAAACTTTTTTAATTTGATTGAGTTAATTTTTAACTATAGGTTTTGAAAACTTATTATTAGTTTAAAAGCAATTAATACAATTTTAAAAATAAATACATACCCTAAGTGGTTCAAAATGATTATCTAATTTTAGCCATAAACTCAAGTCTCCATTTTTTGCTGTATAAGCATCATAAAATCCAGAATAAAGACCTCGAATAAACATTGTTTTGTGAACTATGTCCATGTCTGGATTATTGTTCAACAAATTTAAATATCTTTTAAATAGAACTTGAAATAAAGTAAAACGGTCATCATTGCCCAGAATTTTTGATTTTACCCAACTAATGAAACCCAAATTGTTTTCACGATTTTCATGCAAAAAGCAGTCATCAACTTGATAGATTAAACCTAGATCAAAAATATTTTGATAACTCTAATATAAAAAATATTATTCAATTTAGAAATAAGTAATATTAAAAAAAATAAAACATACAAAAATTAAAAAAGCATAAATAAAATAATCATATAAAATATATATACAAAAAATAAAATGTATACATTAAATGTAAGACATAACATTTAAAAAAAAACTGCTACAATCAAACAAACAAAAAAAGCTCAGTTAAAATATAACATTGCACCCACAACACTATATAACAAACTTATATATGAAAATTATACTTTATTTTCACTAATACTATGGACCATATCTGAATTTAAGACCATATCTGAATTTAAATATTCTGAAATCTTTGTTAGATTTGTGTAGTGTCTGGTGGTTTTATGAATGTATCCAGCATTAGATTCCTTTAGACTCCAAAAATTCCTTTGCAAAATTAAGAAAAAAAATCTATTTAATGCTGACAAATATAAAAATATTTACCCTACTGGTTCAACAATTGCTAGAATGTATGGAAAACCTAAAATGCATAAATTAACTACTGATAATAACATTCCTTCCTTCAGACCCATAGTTTCTTCATTAGGGATATACAAATACAAATTACCCAAATATTTAAGTAATTTACTTATTCCATACATTCTAATGAATCATTGCAGCAAAGATAGCTTTACCTTTGTTAATGAACTTAAAGAAGTAAGAGTAGTCTCCTTGTGAAGTTTGTTTACAAATATCCTATTGGAAGAAACCATCTCAACTGTTGTAAACTAAATGTTTAAAAATAGACTAAAACTTAATACTTCCAAACTTGAATTAAAAAAATCATTTGAATTTTCAACCATGCAAACTAATTTCTTATTTAACAATGAAATATTAGATCATGCCATGGAATCTCTGTTAGCTCCTGTTTTAGCTAACTTGTTTATGAGTCATCACGAAAACATTTGGTTACAAAACAATAAATGCAAAAAATTAGTTTTATACAAAAGGTATGTAGATATCTTTTGTATCTTTGAAAATAACGATGATGCACTCACTTTTCTAGAATATATAAATAAACAACACCCTAACCTTAAATTTACTTCAATGGAAGAAGTTGATCACAAATTGAACTTTCTTGATATAATGACTAACTCTGTAAATAATAAACTTGATACTTCAACATTTTATAAAAAAATTTAAACAGGTTTACTGACTAATTTTACTAACTTTACTAATATTAATTATAAACTAGGACTCATTAAAACTCTGATTGATAGGGCCAATATACAGGATAGGATTGATAGGTTATAAAAATCAACAGCAACTGGGTAAGTTTTCATCTAAATGTTGTAAAAATTAAACAAACTATCAAAAAAAATTATTTCCCCTTGAACTTAATTGACAAAACCTTAATTTACTAAACAACTTTATCTCTCCTAAAGAAAACATGTCATCTTCAAAATCATCTAATATACATTCAAAACCATCTGATATACATCTGATAATACTTTAAAATCCCTTATATTGGACAAATTTTAAACACACTTCAACACCAATTAAATAAATATATTAAAAAATATTGTAAAGATAATATAAAAGCAAGAATAGTTTTTACAACCTTTAAAATAAGTAGTATGCTTTCATCAATAGAGCCCTTTCCCTCAAATTTAAAATCCTTTGTTGTCTATAAATTTGTATGCTCCAGCTGTAATACTGGATATATTGGGGAAACCATCAGACACAACAAGGATTTCAGAACATTTAAATTCAGATTAGGCCTCCCATATTTACAAACATTTCAATTCATCACAAAAATGCAAAAATTCAATAAATCTTGATTGCTTTTTCATTATTGACAGAGCTCTCTTTAAGTATGAGCTCAAAAATAAGGAAGGTATCCATATCAAATGGAAAAACCTCATCCTAATATACAATTGTAATTATACACTATTATTATAACAATATAATTTTTCAATTATCTTACTTTTTATTTCCTATTTTGTTTCTTATTAATTACTTCACAACTTTTCTATAATCTTTTGTAAAATTTCATGCTAATTACAGTGAAATTCCGATATCTTGAACCCCGGATAACTTGAACTTCCAGTACTTTCGAGTTCCCCATGAACTCTCACTAGAACTTTCACATAAAAACAACTCGATAATTCAAACACCTGTTCAAGTTATCAAGTTGTTTTTATGTAAAAGTTGCACCATTTTATCTGTTTCCATGGCTAATAACTCGAACATTAGAACAAAAATATGAAAAAAACTTGCAATGAAGCCCTTGCAATGTTAACAATAATAATAGTTTGATTAAGTTTATAGTGTTATACTAACGTCCATTGCAATATTATAATAAAATTTGTTGTGTTTACATTTTATTATGGCTGCTGTTGCTGTAAAGAGAAAAATAACACAATCTAAATTAAAGAAAAGTACGCTGCTTTCAGGGAAATTGGAGAAGGATTGTCAAAGTCTCAGGTTGCTATGAAATATGGCATTACAAAAAAAATAGGCTGTCAACATGGATCAGAAATAAAGATAAAATTTTCAAAAGTATGATGATGCAAGGGAACGCAAAACACATGAGAATTAAAGAAACATTTTCAAATTTAGATAATCTTGTTTTTAAATGGCTTTTAAATGTAGCAAGTAGAAACATGGCAGTATCAGCAACAATTCTTAAAACAAAACCCAGAGAACTTGCTGAAAAAATTAATATAAATGGATTTCAAGCGTCTGATAGTTGGCTAGATTATTGGAAAAACAGGTATAATGTTTCTTTCAAGCCTGTATGTGGAGAGGGTAACTCTTGAACAGCTGAAATGACCACGCCATGGAAGGAAACAACTCTCCCTACAATTTTATCCAGGTATATACTTGATGAAATTTATAATGCAGATGAATTTATTTTTTTTTTTTGCAAAAAAAAAATAAATTCATCTGCATTTATTTGTTTTGAAAAACAATTTATTCAATGCAGAAAAACAATTTATTCAATGCAGATGAATTTATTTTTTTTGCAAAAAAAAAATAAATTCATCTGCATTGAATAAATTGTTTTTCGTATGCAACCTAATAAGTCACTAAATCTATAATCTGAGACTTGTATAGGGGAAAAGCACAGTAAAATTTGTCTTACAGGAATCGTTGCAGCAAGTGCAGCTAGTGATAAAATTCCTATGTTTGTAATAGGAAAATCAAAATCACCTCGCTGTTTCAAAGAAGTTTAGCATTTACCTTGCAGATACACAAACCAATATAAAAACTAGATGGATTACGTACTGTTTGAAGAGTGGATATGAGAAATGGATACAAAGTTTACAAAAAAAAGAAGAAAGTAGCGTTCATAATAGATAATTGCCCAGCACACCTGACGGTTGATAATCTAAAATCCACTGAGCTCATTTTTACCACCAAATACCACATTTAAACTTCAACCTATGGATCAGAAGTTCAAAATTAGATAAAAAAAATAATTTTTACCCTACAACAGTTGAAGATGTTATTTTTGCAGATGAAAACTTAATTAGAAAAGTAACTTTACTTACAGAGGAACAGTTGATAGAAGAAGTTAAAAATGCAGCATTTCTATAAATAAGAATCATGATCACTGCTCACGTGAGTTATCATCTCTAGTTTGTTTAACAAAAATTATTCTCGCTTAGCTTGTAATTCAACAAAGTTGAATCCTTTTACTGTATCTGTCCCTTAGGGTGGAGTGATTTGCATACTTTTTTGGAAATTCAACTTTAGTAACCCGGGAGTAAGTTCAACAGGGTAAAATATGAGCTCATAAAAAATTTCAGCTATCAAAAATAAAAAATGACAAGCTTAATCGACTTAATGGCGAGCTTAATCGACAAAAAATGGGATTTTTTTTTAATTTTCACGTTTTTCTGCAATTTACGAAATCAATTAATAAAAAAGTCAAACCAGTCAAAAACTTTTTTTTTCAAATAAATTTATTCATTATAAAACGGTCAAATAAATTAATAATAAATTATTAAAATTTTATTTAATATAATGGTATATAAGCAATATACGCATTTAAACATTCAATTTTTTTTTAGCTAGTTTTTATACCTCATTTTAACGCATATCTATTACTATAAAATACAATCAAGTTTTGATCGGCAAAATTAAAACTACTTATATAACTAAACTGTATATACAAAGTTTACTTATGTAAGTCATTTTTAAATTTTTAAGGTACAATTAGTTGAAAACTTTATATAATTATATACTATTATATACCAGATATGAATAAAGGATTAATAAATTAAACAATTTAATTTTGACTAAATAATTTAAACATAATTGGTACGTGTACCCATTTCGATTAAAATATCTAGCCAATCGTGAATATAGATAAAGCTGAAGCATTACACTCTTTGCAAAAACCTTTAAAAATTATTTCTATGACCCCTGAAGTGCTTAATTTTTTATTCCAAAACAGTGATTATTACAGTGATCAACTTAATAAACGGGTAATAAAAATAGCCATGGATAACCATCACCAAAATCCGAACATGTTTTTAAATTATTTGTTTTTTTTTATTGTTTTTAACACTATAAACTTAAATTCATAAATATAAATGTTTATTAATATTTTAATTGCCAAAAGCTTGGGCATATGCAAAATATTTCTAAAATAAATACCTTGCAAATGTGAGTTGAACACTTTACCATTACCCTACTACTGCATTGGTCCTAAATCCTAAACACACTTTTTTATTCCTCGAATTAAAAAAGTAAGAACATTCATATAAAGATGTTTATTAACATCAAATGCATAACAAAATTTATCATTAAAAAACCACAAAATCGTTTTTAGTTTCAAAATATGGTCAAATTTCCCTGGATTTTAGTTTAGTTAAAATATATTTATGACGAGATTCCCTGCCCTTCCCTAAAATGTTATAAATTTTTTCTTAGCCATGGCTATCAACCCCTGCTAAATCTTATAATTTTGGCAGGGTTGAAAAAAGTCCTATTTTTTCCCAGGGCCAGGACCCTGGTCACTTAAACATAATGGGTAAACATTTAAAGTTTTCCATAAATTATTATTATTATTATTATTATTGCTATTATTATTATTATTATTATTATTATTATTATTATTATTATTATTATTATTATTATTATTATTATTATTATTATTATATATTAATAATATTTAAAAAATTGAAACCTAGCTCTATGTCATCCAATGAAACTTTTAAAACTCTGTTAGAATTTATCAGTGAGCCAGCCAAATGTAGAAATTCCCAAGTTTTTTGTTTACCTTGTATAACATATTTATATTCCAAAGGAGTTTGAATACATTCTTTATTTATCTTTAAATCACCTGTGTAAATTACTCCTTCTGAGTCATTACTAAAATCAAAAAAAAAAAAGTTGTCAATAACAAAAACATTCCTGCTGCTTTTTGTTTGCATTTTTCGATGCTTAGTTTTCCACTAAGTGAGAGAGTAAGAAAATGTAAGCAAAATGTAAAATTTCTAGAATAAATTTTAATTTATTGTATTTTAAAATTTATCTTAATTTATTACTGATAAAAAACATTTTATTTGTTATCGCAGCATAGTCCCATAGCATGTTTATATATGAATCATGACTGTTTTAAAATTGGCATATTACTTATAAATTTAAATCTTAAAAGGCTGTGATATAGAACTTGATTAGTGTAAATAGTTACATTGAGAAAAAAGTTCAAAAAAAAGTTTTTCTAATAAAAGAGGTATTCATCAAATTTAGTTAGATTCATCCGAATACTATAAATAAAATTGAAGGTCAAATATTTGATAAATAAATGCAAATCTCAATAATTCTTGCTCTACTCCAACTCTATGTTGTCTGTTCAAGAACAAAATTGTTAAACAAATTATTTCTTATGTTGAAAAACATCGGTTACAAGATGGATCATTTCTAAAATTTAACAAAAACAATATATTATACTCTTTATTGTTATTATTGTTATTATTATTTGTTTCTTTTATTTATTCAATTCTTTCTTTGGCATTATTTTATTTCAGTTTGCCTACTGTTGAAACATGATTTTTATTTAATAAATATTTAAAAATTTGAAAGTTACTTTTTCAATTGATTTTTTTACTTTTTATTTTATTTACATTTACTTTATTCTCCTCTCCAAGGTTGCAGGAATGTTAACTGGTAATTGCTAAATTTTAATACTTAACTGTGCTACTGCTATTTTGTGCTACTATGTAGTACAATGATAGATTTTGTTACAATGCAGTTTTACAATGCAATTTTTGTTACATTGCTTACATTATTATTTTAATAACTTAGGGTATGCTTTTGTTGCATGCCTTTTTAACTACTTTTTAACACAATATCTCAAAGCTTATTACAAATAATAATCATAATAAATGATATCACAATAAGTTTACAGGTTGCTTACTATTTGCTAATATTTTTAAATTATTTGCTTGCTGCATTATAATTTTGTGTGTGTATGTGTGTGTATATATATATATATATATATATATATATATATATATATATATATATATATATATATATATATATATATATATATTTATTTTTATATAATGTATTATAGTATATATACATTATATATGTTATAGTTTTAAATCAAATAAATATATTAAATTACCTAAGTGGTATCATTTTTACACCAACACCTTTCCATCCACCAAGACAATCGTTTCCAAAAGAAATACCAAGATTTTCAACACGCTTTTGTAATATATAAAAAAACTTGATGTAAATGATGCTGTTCCACACAGTATACTTAACTACTCCTTCTTGATTTGACCTAATAAAAAAACGAGAAACAAAAAATAACTTTTAAACTAAAAGTCATTGAAATTTAAAAAGTACTTTGATAATGCATTTAACTTTATTTATTTCCATATTTTTCTACCAATTATTAATATTTTACAGGTTGATAGACATTTCAACAATATTTAAATTTAAAATTAACTTGATTAATTTTAAATTTAAATATTAACAACAATTAAAAATTAAAATTAAAAATTAACAACAATATTTAAATTAAACCATTAACTTGAACTACTTTATCTACTATTTTTGATTTTTGCTACATAAATTAAATAAATCTTTGAAAATAAGATTTCCGAAATGGCGAAGTAAAGAATTAATTGCATAAGTTCTTTAATACTAGAACATTTCCAAAAACAGTGTTGGTGAAAATTTCATATCTGCCTTAGGCAGCTACATTGTCCTTGACAATGATGTTAACTAAAAGATTATTTGGTGATCCAGTGAGTCACAACCAACTATAAATGAGGGTATAAGCAAAAATCAAGTCAAGCAACAGCATCAGGATTTCCATATTTAGGATTTGTGCAGCAATCGCAGTAATCAATATCTGAAGTGTTACATATTGCAGATGCATGTATATATATATATATTTATATTTATATATATATATATATATATATATATATATATATATATATATATATATATATATATATATATATATATATATATATATATATATATATATATATATATATATATATATATATATATATATATATATATATATATATATATATATATGTTTTAAGAAACAAAACAAATTTTTTAATTAATAAAACCATTTTATAAATTTTAACCAATACATGTTTCGACTATCACTAGTCATCTTCAGTTGAATTTAAATTTTTTATTTTTAAATTTGTTTAAATATCTGTAAAATATAGGTGATTTTTACAATAACAATACAAAATGTAATTATCTATGTACAAACTTTTAATTTAATTACAAAAATACGACAAAATCTATAAGAATAACAACAAACAAGTCAACCATGTCCAAATGACACTTTCTGTTTAGTTATTATTTTCTATGTAAAATTTTTATTAACCAATTTTTTCCTCACTTCCTATTTGTTCTTTTAGCATGACTTGTTATTCTTATAGATTTTGTCGTATCTTTGTAATTAAATTAATAGTTTGTACATAGATAATTACATTTTGTATTGTTATTGTAAAAATAAAAGTACCTATATAGGTACTTAAACAAATTTAAAAAATAAAAAATTTAAATTCAACTGAAGATGACTAGTAATAGTCGAAACATGTATTGGTTAAAATTGATAAAATGGTTTTATTAATTAAAAAATTTGTCTTGTTTCTTAAAATATTTACATTTTTTGTGCTTATTATTATTATAAATTTAAATACTAACATGTCCAATTATTATTTTATTCAACTCTTTAATTTTTTTATCATCATTTCTTGTACTACTACAACTGGTAGAACTACGCTATATAAATTATTAAAATACAAATATAATAATATCTACTTTTATTATATTATTTTTGTTTCACTCCCAGCACCTAACCTTTCAGAGATTTATGAAAACAAATAAAATTAGTTTTATTATTTTTAATTTTTAAATCTTAGTTTACTTACAGATTTTTTTTAGCTTGGTCTGCATAGCTAGCTTTGTGTGTGCTGCCTGTATCATCTGATTTCTGTTTATTTGTTGATCTAAGTTCCATTGTAGTTTTTGTAGGCTTTGTAAAAAAAAACAAGAATAGGTTAGGAATAAAATTAAGAAATTTATTTGCTACAATGAAAAAAAAAATTAAGTAAAGTTTTTTAATTAATCATCCTTTTATGATTTCAACTCCTTTGTTAAATTTTTATCAATTTTAAGCAAGTATTTAAGTAATAATGGAATAAGTAAAAAATTGTCAATAAATTAAAATCAGCTATTTTTATTTTTTAAAACACATTAATCTTTTTAAACTGTATTCCACACAACCTCACTTTAGTTACCTAGTTACAGAGTTGTTAACCTACTAACATAGAATACAAAAAGGGTATACTAATAATAAGAAGAATTTTAGTATTTAATTCTAAAAGAATTTTTCATCAGAATATAATCAATTTTAAACATTCAATTTTTACTTTATTAACATCTGTATCCTTTTTGTTCAAGCAAGATGAAGATCTACTTTCAGAACATTGAGTATCAACTTTTTTGCCCCCAAAAGAAAGATTATGCTGTGCTAATTGGTCATTGTCTTTATTACCAAAAGATCTATCACAACTACTTGATCCTTCACTCGGTAGCTCATTCTTGCTATATATATACAAAAAAATGCTATTTATAATTTTATTCATACAGAATTTGAAAAAAAATTTTTCTAAGGTTTTGTGAAAATTACTTACTGTTCTTCTTTATAATTGTTGTCCTGAGGTGAAATACACATTTGAGTCACTTCTGAAATATTATTTTTACTATTGTCAAGCGAAACTGTTTTGTTTTTCATTTCATTTTTCACTGCTTCAATTTCAGATTTATGTTCAATAGATAAATTGTCTTTATTATGCAGCAAATCACTCTATAAAAATCATATAACAAAAAAAAAAATACTTAATTTTTTTTTTACCAGTGAAAAAAAACAAAGAATATATATATATATATATATATATATATATATATAATATATATATATATATATATATATATATATATATATATATATATATATATATATATGTTAGTAACTATACATATATAGTAACTATACATATATAGTATTTATTGTTTTCTTTACTTTTAGTATATTATTTTTAGCATATTGTATATTAAAATTGTATATTAAAAACATTTATATATAATATAGAAATAAAACTTAACCACATTATTTAATTTTCTAAAACTTTACATAAAACGCCTTTATCAAAATTTGTGGGTGGGACATATTGCCCATTTTAAAAACGTATTTTAAACAACAACTAGAAAAGGTTAACATTTAATAGAATGTATGCAGTGCTCAAAATAACAGCTCGCCAATGATTATATTTGGAATATATTTGAAAAAAATGATACTTTGATCTCCCAAAATTAATTCTGGCCAATCACACCTGCTCGACAAGAATTTCAAGTTAAACTTTTATAATAATGAATATAAATCCATTTAAAAAACAGAACGTTAAAATTTTTAAACTAGCTTCAAAATTAGATTGAATACTGAAAAAAAGAAAATGTTTTTAATTGATGAAATAAATATAATGTTAAGAAAATAACATCTTTAGTTTTAAATCTAAAAAAAATTACTATTTCCTCAACAGCCTGAATGATAAGTATCATTATAAGTTTATTATTGGTGGAAAAAAGAATATTTTTAAAACCAATTTAAATGAAATAATTTTTTTATTTTAGGAATTCAAGTTAAAAATTAGAAAAAAATTTATTTAAAATTATTAAAAATTTATTTAAAATTTTTATTTAATATAAAGTTAAACCATAATTTAAATTTAGTAATTTAATAAACAAATTCTGATTTATTTTTTAAAAATATTGCTATGATTGACTTAAAAATTATGTTTGACAAAAAGTACAGTCAAAAAGCTAAGCAGAGAAGAGAAAAAGTTGATTTAGAGTTAACCACCTCATTTTAACATTTAATGTGTTGGTTAATTCTAATGGTAGATTTAATTAATATACATGTAGACTCAGAAAAAAAAAAAGAAAAAAACATACAATAGTAACTTCTAAATAAATAATACAAACAAAAACATCAAATAGAACGTTTTATTATTTTTTATTATGTATAACTTTAATTAAAAATTTATTCTTTAATATTCATATTTAAAATAAGCCTTTCTTGTGTATTAACTGACTTCATAGCAATATGGGCCACATAATATATTATACAAACATAAAAAATTGTAAGTGCTAAATAAGTTAGTGCTAAATAATAAATGCGGTAGTGGTGTAGTGGTAGAGTGCTTGTTTCATAAGCCAGAGGTTCCACTTTCCACGTAATATCATGCTCAAATTGTTTCTCAGTGCAGCAGCCTTGTTTGTCAAGGTTTTAAGCAATTAACTTTCTAATCTAAGCAATTAACTTTAATTAAATAAAGTAAAAAGCAATTAAATAACTTGTATTGCAAATCAAGATATTGAAATAACATGTCATTTGAACTTTTTATGACTTACAAAATGGTGCATAATATTTACCCTTTTCTGAATTTTTTACTTTTTCAAACTCAAAGCGTTTTACAAAAAGTCATTCACAAAAATTTTTTTATAGCAAAAGAATTATCAAAGTATAGAACTCGCTTCCTGATCACATAGTGAATTTGTTTTCACTTTCAGCAGTCAAATCAAACTTGAAAAAGCTTGATTAACAATGCCATTGTGCAATTTTTTAACATGTTTTCTTCACACTGACTCTTATTGGAATACTTGCTATTTTTATTGATGTAACATAAGATTAATTTAGTAATTACCTGTCTCACCTTTTTGTATTTTGTACAACTTTTAAATGCAAGTAAATAAACAAATAAAAACCTAAAACTTTATTTACTTTTAAAAACAGAGCTAATACTTCCTTGGAATCCATTTCAAATCATTTTAAATTGCTCACCGTTCAATTACTGTTCCTTTGCTAGACCATCTAAGTACTGAGTTTTGTATATTTTTTATTTTTCGCATGCAAATAAATCAAATTCAAAATAAGTTAAAAAACAAATTTGTGAAAATCAAGAAACATTGTCGACATACCAAATGGTACAAAATGATAGTCTGGTAGACATACAAGACTAACATTTGGTAGATATACCAAAGTTCACAAGGACAGATTCACACAGCTTTATATAGAAATCCAACAGACACTTTCCTCCAATTTATTTAACACCATCCCTCACACATTAAAACAAGCATCATTTTACTCACGGGTCATTCATTACAATCACCTAAAATACTCACAATTTTTTACATTTTTTTAAATCTCAGTCCTAAAACATAAACATTAGCATAACCATCACCTATGCTTATTTTGTGGTTTGATTGGTTGGTTTATTTAATATTTCTTTTGGCTGAACTTCATGCATCATCATGGTCATTATGATCACTATATTGTAACACCATTATATAACATTAAAAAAAAAAAACAAAATATTGATCTAACACTTTTCTGAGATCTTTCTTTCCTTCTGGATTTTATATATAATTGTTTACATTCAGATATTTTCTCTTCATCTACAAGTATACATTATGTTGATCTAGCATTTTTCTTTTAGAGATCTATCTTTTCAGGATCTACATACATGGATCATTACATTGATCTAGCAATTTTCTCCTTGAAATTATATATATAATTAAATATAAAATCCAGCTGGATTTTATATATAATTGTTTGCATTCAGATATTTTCACTTCCCCTGTAAGACTTCATGGCCCATTATGATTCACAATATGTATAAAATTACATTAATAAAAATGTAATCTTATGTGACTCCACATTTAGCAAATTATTCCTCATGTTGTTCTTACTTATTTTTCGATTTTGTTTTAATCTATAGTTTTATAAGTTTTTTGTGTACAACTTTTTTACTCTTTTAAGGAAAAAAATTTTAAATTTTCAAATAGGAAAATAACTCTCTTGCAATAAAAAGAAAGATAAATGTTACAGAAAAAAAACACTTACAGAACTTTCAGATCTATTATCTGAAAAACTAATGTTTTCATCATTCTTTGGATTGCTATTTTTAGATAAATTTTGATTTTCTTTGTTTTTAACTTCATCCAATCCAGAATTGCTGACTTCCATACAAGGCTTTTGTTCAGGAACAGAAATACCATCCTTAAAAAAAATCTTTAGTTTCAAATGAAATTCAAAAAAAAAAATTAAATCCAATATAGAAAACTTATAGAAACGCTTTTTGGAACTTTACATTCTGGCACGAATAGCATCAACATACTAAAAATGTATTAAACTTGAAGTGGGTCATATTGGGCTTTGCTGAAAAGTTCTGAAAGTTATGTAAAAGTTCTCTTAACAATAATTGATTGTATCATTATTTTATCTCATATGTATTTTTTGACTTTAAGTAAATTTTTTTAAATTTTCGAATTGAAAAATAATTTTTCTGCAATGACAATAAAGATACATATTATACATATTAAAAATAACTTACAGAATTTTCCATCCTATCTACTATTGAATTATTGTTTTCATCATTTTTTAAATTGTGATTTTGAGGTAAAGTTTGATTTTCTTCACTTCTAACAAAATCCAATCCAGAAGTGTTGACTTCTATACACGTCTTTTGTTCAAAAGCAGAAATACCATCCTTGGAAAAAAACTTTAGTTTATGTATTATTTATGTCTATCATTAACTATATAGCAAACTTTTTATTCAAAATTATGTAATACATGGTAATAGAAATATAGAGTAATAGAAAATGTCAATTATAGCTGGAGTGATAACATGTAATTAAAAACCTGTTTATTAAGATCAGATTTTATGAATAATGTGTAACACTTCTTTGATTTTTAACTAATGTGAAATTTGGACATTAAAAATGCTTTATTGGCTACATTAAAGCAACTAGGTTTTTAATGAATAAGTTGATTTATATGAGATGCTTTTTGTAATTTTAAATTATATAGTTTCTCAATTCTTTTATTCAAATGTCAAGTGGCTTGACCCCCACATAACAAGCATTACAGCTTTTACATACAAACTTATATATCGCACTTGAGCAGAAATGTTTTTTTTTTTTTTTTTTTTTTTATAACATCTTCGCTTTTAACAAGGCTGCAAGCAACCACTATCAGAGTTGGAAGTTACTGAAAGAAAAAAGATGAAGATTGTAGAGCAAGATAACAATTGACAGACAACATAAAAGATTGCAAATTATATGAATCAGGAAAGCAAAATGAAGAAAATTCCTAAGAAATGATTATCGAGGAAAAAACTAGAACAATAAGAGTTTTAGGAGCACTTAGAAACAGTCACAGAAAAAGGATGAGACTTAATTGAATGACGAGTAACATGAGAATGAATTTTAGTAGATGGCACAAGAATTGCTAGCTCTTTAGAGCAGTGTCCTTTATAGTATTTGTAGAAAAGAGAAAGAGAAGCAACATTACGACGATGTGATAATGGTTGAAGGTTGGCTGCAAGAGCAGGTCCAACTATGTTTACAATGGGTTTTTGCACCTTGTCTAAAAGAGAAAGGATATCATTAGAAGATCCGAGCCAGATATGCCAACAGTATTCCATACAAGGTCAGATTTGAGATTTATAGAAATAAAGAATAGAATCTGAAGTAAGAAAGTGTCCAACACGATAAAGAGATGCAACCTTAGCAGATGCTAATTTTGCAATGGATTTGATATTTGGTTTCCAAGAAAGACCGGAAGTAAGAGTGATAGATAGATAGTGCATGGTAGTAGCTATGTTGTACATGGTAGTAGCTATGTTGTACATAGCTACTACCATGCACTATCTATGATCAAGTCAAGCTAAAACATTTTAAATATATATCAGCACCAACCTACATTTTCGTTTTAATAATTGGCAATAAAAAGTTGTAAAATTTTAATGAAAATAAAATGAAATATTAATATTTGAAAGATATCAATTTGCTTTAGTTCTGATAGCTATTAAACATCACATTAATGACTTAACATCTGACTTTGACAAAGCCTCCCAGTGTTGTAATTTTTTGCTGACTTTCTTTGTGACAGACTTTTTGTGTTGGTTAAATTTCTATAACAACAAATTTCTAAATAAGTTTACATCTTCAGGCTCTGATGTGTTTTTTTATCAGTATTATGCAAAATCATTCGGTGTGGATTTTAACTTTCTGCAAGTGTCAGTCTTTAGATCTGTTGACATTTGATGTATTGGAATATTTTTTTAAAAATAACTTTTTTAAATTTGCTTTGTTTGATTCCGTTTTATGTAATCGTGATACATTTATCAGATGAAAATCACATTCTGCCAACTTTTGCTTTATTATTGGTCCAAGGAATAACTTTAGCATTCCTGTCATTGTTACCTCAAAACTGAAATAAGTATTTTTGAAAAAATACTACTAAATATTCTTAGCATTTAGTAATTGCTTAGTATTTAGAAATAACCTCATATAAAAACACATGTAAAATGATATTATAATATGGGCTTGAAGTTTTTCAGCAACAAAAAAAAAAAAAAGAAATTTATATGGAGAGCATAATTTAAAAATAGTTTAATTTATGCTCTCCATATTGTGTTGAAATTTATACTATTATTATGTGGATAAAAATATTCATTCATACAACATCTGGTTGCAGCATCTATTGAAATACTTTAAACCATAGTCAATGACAGGTGACAGGTTAAAACATTTAATCTAACACTTGTCTATGTTACCCATATGTTAAAGTAACCCTGCATTACCTAATATAAAAATTTTTGTACTTTTATATCAACTGGCATTAAAAATGACCACTAAATTATTTCAATATATTCATTACAAATACTCTTGGTTTTGGTATATTGAGGTAACTTTCTGTCCATTAAATACTGCACTTCATGCAAAATTCATCAGACCTACTTGATTAATTTAAATTTAGTTGTTCAGATTTCTTAATCTTCAGTTTATAGTGTTGATGACTATGATGCATTGATTCACAATTTTTTGTTTTCGACATTTAGTTTGCTTGGCCGCGTGCTTGCCCAAATCTTATATTTAACATAGTTGCTACTTAACAATTTTTAAAGTAGTAGAATGCAGTACCAAAGTTAATTTAAAATAAGATTTTATTGGTGCTCTCCTACATTAAAACCTGGAGGGTGGCAACTATGAACTATATTCTTATTATCTCTCTAGTCCTGTTATCTAATTATTTATCAACTTTTGATATTAGTAACTTTAATGCTCATTAAATTTTTTTAGTACCACTGAATTTGCTGGTTCTATAGCTGAAAATTTTGGTCTTTCTTAATTTTTTTATTCATATAGTTAACTTCGTAATTTATATGCCAGACAACATTAAAGACATATATTCACTCCTTGGTATCTATGTTGTCTATGACTCAAATTTATGCTCAATTTCTCTTTATTCTCTTTTACGTGGTTAAAATCATGCGATGATCTTACTAAAACTTTAATCTCTTGTTTACATCAAATTCAACCTATCAGAACACTTCCTAATATTATCTTAGAGCTGACTGGAATTCAATTCACGATTTTATTTGTGAGGGTTCATGAAATTATGCTTTTTTTTTCTTTTTGATTGAGGCAGACATGGAGAATTTTTTTGAATTGAATTCTGAATTGAGAATTCTGCCCAATAGTTTTTTTCTTCTTCTTGTCATTTCTTTTATTTTTATTACCAGAATAACCCTCTTGTAAGCAGATACCTTTTTACCATTTTAGCAAGAAATTGATGCTAAAAAGTATTGTCTAACACTAGGGTTCAAAATTTTCAGATTAGAAATTTATTTCAAGTTAACTTCTAGAAAATTTTGAAAAAATCCTTAAGCCTGGCAAGCTAGTCTTTTCCATGACCTTTTTTTATATGGTACATTTGTAAATCTTTTTAGATATATTAAACTATTCCTTTCTAGTAGTGACACAAGACTCCATCATTGGCTTGTCTATTGTTACTAATCTATACTAATAATCTTCTGGATAACACTCTGTACTTATACTATCTATACTACTTATACAACTTATATTATATATAACTACCTTTTTATTTAAAAAAAACATTACTGAGTCAACTCTGCTTTACATCTTGAAAAGTATGATGAAAAGTAGATCTTTGATCGTTTTTTCTACACAATACTAAACTCTCATAGAAACCATATATCAATCAATTGTTAAGTTAGCATCTGTTTAAGTTGCTTTTTGTTATCATCCTCATCATTTTCTCACTAAATAATCCATACTCTACTCTATCCTTATATTTGTCCTTGAATGGGGAATTATATTAGGACTAATTATTATATTAGGACTAATTCCTCTTATGATTCTTATGGTTTTTTTTTAAATAATGCCCTTTTTCTTTTAAACAAGGCTCAAAAAAGAAATGCAGTTGAACCTCATGAATAGGACAATGGGTCAAAGCTTGATCCATTGTTCTATTGTCAAAGCTTGATCCATTGTTCTATTGTCAAATCTCATCATTGTAAATGTCTTTACAATAACTACTACCGTGTCTTTACAATAATTACCGTGGTTCATGCTCAAACAAGCTATTATCTATCGTGGTTCATGCTCAAACAAGCTATTACCCCTCATTCTATCAACAGAAACAGTCTTATGTGACTCTTCATTCAGCAATAATGCATCCACATGTTGCAAGTTTTTCTTTATGATAAAATACTTTTACTTATATAGTATTTATTCTGTTTAGATTTTATTACTTAAATTTTCAACTCTTTTTTAATTTATTATAACCCTTAGATTAATTAATTAGATTATAACCCTGCTGTGTACAGTATTCTATTTTACAGTATTACTCCAAGTATGAACTATTGTCAAAACTACTGTCAATTCAAAATAACATTCTTGCAATAGCTATAAAGATAAATGTTATATAAAAAATAACTTACAGAAGTTTCCAATCTGTCATCTGAAGAACTGTTTTTTCCATCATTCATTATAATGTTATTCTTAGATAAACTTTGATTTTCTTCACTTTTAACTACATCCAATCCAGAATTTTTGACTTCCGCACAAGACTTTTGTTCAGGAACAGAAATACCATCCTTGGAAAAAATCTTTAGTTTATGTTTTATTTATGTCTCTTTTTATTGTCATTTTTTATAACAAAACTTTTTATTAAAAAGAAATAATTAACATTACTTGTTCTGTTAATTTATTTAACTAAATTGATTATTATTTTAAAATTGAAGTGAATATTTAACAATTATTTGATGTGTCATTTTTTTTATCTTGTATCTATTTTCTTATTTTAAGTGAATTTTTTCAAATTAGAAAATAATTTTCTTGCAATAACAAGAAAGATACATGTTATATAAAATATTACTTACAGGACTTTCTGATGTATCAGCTAAAGAATTGTTAATTTCATCATTCATTAGATTTCTATTTTTAGGTAAACTTTGATTTTCTTTGCTTTTAACTACATCCAATCCAGAATTGTTGACTTCCATACAAGATTTTTGTTCAGAAACATCCTTGGAAAAAAATATGTCTATCTTTATTGGCATTAATTATATAAAAAAAAAAAATTACTTAATTCAAATAACCATAGATTGAAAATGTAGTTTTATATAAATATTTCATTATTGTAAAGAAAATAATTACAATAAATAAAGTTATATAAGTTATATATAATTGTAGCTTTACATTTTATTCAAGATGAGAAAAAAAAAACTGCTGTTGAAAAATACATTTGAGTTACAACTATAAGTGGCTGCTTATCAAAAACCATGTAAAGGGAAGAAGGATCTAGAATTTTCTTTTAGGGACAGATAATAATTTCGAAATTGATGCAGACAGATGAACTTGATAAAAAAGTATTCAACTGGAAGAAAGATCAGGTTTTATGACAACCACAAAGTTTAAGCCTAAATTGTCAAGAGACAACACTTTTTTTGCTTGTTTTTGTTTTTTAATTTGAATCACCAAAAAGGCCACTACAGACGAGGAGGCTACCTAATTGTGGTTATAACCCTCTCTCACCTCTATAACTCCAAACATGAACCTGACAAACAAAGCCATTGCGCAGAGAAACAAGTTAAGAGCGGTACTACCAGGGATATGGTGGGGATCGAACTTGAAAACTCTTGTTTATGAAGCAAGCGCTTTACCACAAAACTACTTTTTACTGCCCCATTACCCAAGGACATGGATTAATGACAGCAAACAATGTACTAACTGCTGTTGAAAGCATAAAATTTAACAAAGAAAAAAACTTGAAAAAAAAGAAGATGAAAAAAGAAACTTAAAACATGCAAGCTTGAAAGTAATCTTGGGCATATAAAATATTTTTGGCTTGAAGCAGTATCCAACCTTAAAGTAATGAAGCCTGTTTGCAGCATGAACAAAATTTAGAAATGATAATATTACCAGGTACTAGAAATTGTAGGCTTTGCTAAGAAACGTAATACTGCACACATTTTATATATGAAATGGTGATTTCACCTACATGTTCAGCAATTTACGTTTAGCAAAAACTTTTATGTATAATATTTTAATTATTTTTTTATATTGTTTACGCGGCGTTTTTATAGATAATGTTAAGTCCTAAATAATTACTGTAAAAAACATGTTAAGCTCATTTGCAAAATAATTTATTTTTTTGATAAAAAAAACTGATTGTTAAATAAATCTTTTTTAAACTAAAAATATGATTTCGTAAACTAAAAATTTTAATTTAGTTTTGAAGGAATGCAAACTACTATACTCTTTTTTCAAGAAATAATTTTTTTATTATTTTTCGCAACCTTCATTACATAAAAACATTAAAACAACCTTTTCTATTAAATATATATATTAGAATTAAATGTGTAAAAGCAATTAAAAAAACTCCTTTGTAATAAGAAACAAGAAATTTTGGTTTGAGAATTTCTTTCCCAAATAAATTTAAATTTTGTTTCTTATTAATTCAATATCACATAAAGTTTTTATAAATTAAATTTTATTTATGAGCATATCATGTTTAAGAATAACTTATTGGTAACTGATAAAATCTACCTATAACTTGTTACAGTTATAATCTTTATTAAAAATAGATCATAAAAAACAAACAAAAACCAAATTATGATATAGCAACCAAAAGATTATTATGTTATGTATAAAATTTTTTTAAGAAATAAATAGTAAGGAAATATTATCTTTTTCATATACCAAATTTAGATTTCATTAGTAATTTTTGTTATAGTTATATCGCTTAAATGATTTTTTAACATAAATTAAATTTAATTGCAATGCAATACTTTAAAGTACGTTTAAATTTAACTTTTAACAACATAAATATCAATGCTACTTAAGCTACATTTATAGACTGTTTCTATTATGCAACAAAATCTTGTAACAATGCATAGATTAATCCTAGATAAAAAAATGTCATGCACCCTAACAACCACACATTGAGTTGTATATTTTTTATTGTATAATTTATACAGTTTATAATTTATAAAGTTGTTTAAGTTTTTTTTACAAGTTTCACTTTTTCTAAAAATGCAAATGGTATTATTTAACTATAGATAATAATATTATTTTATTAATATTAACATAATAATTTTTATAACTAATTGAGTTTTGTTTTTGTTTTTGCGTTTTTCGAACATTTTCATCTAAAGTTTTTGGTAGTCTATAATTTTTTTTAAATTATGAATCTTTTTTTAGTAAAGTACCTTAAAAAATAAAAATACCAATAAAAAAGAAAATTCGTAGAAGTTGTTCATAAATTGCATAACAATAACAACTTAATAATAAAAAAATTAAAAACTTCAAAAAAAAAAATAGTTAAAATTGTTAAGTTAGTAATTAAATGTTTTTGATTATTGAAATAATAATTGTTTTGAGGCCATAACAATCTTTAGTTTACAGTATAAAAAAAGGGCAAAAACATTATTGAATAAGTGAATAAACAGAATGATATACCAAATATTTTTGATTGGCGGAATAAATGTAGTCTGTGATCATTATTTTTTTTTCTGTTTTTAAATTCAGAAAAAAAAAATTAATTAGTGAATCAACTCTTAATGAACTTTTTTTTTTGAATAAAATGAATTTGAAATAATTACTAGAAATGTTAACATTTCTTTTTAAGTCCAAATACTAAATATAGCAATCATAAAAATTTAAGCAAAATTACTTTTGCTAAAGTTATTTAGTAATATCAAGTTTGAGATCATTATAAATGTCAAAACGATTTTTGTTTTAAGTGTTAAAATTGATTAAATAGAAAGTATAAATTAAATTATAATCGTAAAATAGAAAATACAATTACTTCTTTTAATAGGAAATTAGTATCTGAATCACCTGCAAAGAAAAAACATTTTTACATTTAAAATGTAAAAAAAATGATAGTAAGTAAAGTTAGATTATTATCTTTTCATATTATTTTGAATCACCCAAAACAATTGATAATAAAAATGATATTTTTATTAGATCTTTAATATTCTTTTGTAAAGTTTCTTTTGCAAAATTTTTTTTTGCAACTTTCTTTCGTAAAGGAAAGACCTGCTAGAAAAAAGTAAAGTTTTTAATAAGAAATCAGTATTTATCTCAGCAGCAGCTTAAGAAGAAAAAAAAACTAATTTTTTTCCTAGCGGGTGCTTTAGTTAGAAGTAAAAATCACAAAAGCCAGGTCACAAAAATTGTGCTAATCAACTATAACTCCATTTTTGAGTTATATTTTGAGCCTAACCTAATTTATCATAACTATGTTTGTAATAGGTATATATAGGTGCTATACTTGATAGAGATTTATGATAAATAAATAAAATTATGGGATTGCAGCTTACAGCTTTAGATGAAAGTAAAAGGTACTTTTGAAGCATGATATTTAGATAGACCTAAATGTTTACTTCACCTATTTTATTATTTTTTGCCAATAAACAATACTCAGGTGAAATGCCATTGAAAAGTATATAGTTTGTTCTACTTTTAAGTGTAAATCTTCTTTAAACACTAATTGGTCAATATTCTTAAAAAAAATTTCTAACTTAAATCCAATATATTGATAACTTATAGAAACTTTTTTTAAAATTTTACATTCTGGCATGAATAGCATCAACATACTAAAAATGTAGTAAATTTGAAGTGTGTCACTATTGGACACTAAGTTACATAAAAGTGCTCTTAATAATAATTGATTGTACCATTATTTTATATCATATGTACTTTTTGGCTTTGAGAAAACTTTTTTAAATTTTCAAACTAAAAATATTTTTTTCTGCAATAACAATAAAGATACATGTTATACAAAAAATAACTTACAGAATTTTCTATCCTATCTACTGTGGAATTATTATTTTCATCATTTTTTAGATTGTGATTTTGAGATAAAGTTTGATTTTCTTCACTTCTAACAACATCCAATCCAGAACTGATTAGATCTATACACATCTTTTGTTCAGAAACAGAAATACCATCCTTGGAAAAAATTTTATTTTATGTATTATTTATATCTATCATTAAATATGTAGCAAACCTTTTATTTAAAACAAATTACTATTAATCAGAAATGTAGTTTCATATAAACATTTATTAGTTGTAGAGTAAATAATACAATAAATAAAGTTACAATAAAACAGTAGTTTTATATTTTACCAAAGTTAAGAAAACGAAAAAAACATTCAAGTTACAACTAATAACAATACATTGTGCTATATTTTCTAATGTAATACATGGGTAAAAAAGTACTTCACCTAAGCACTATACCAGGCCTCTCAAGCAAAGTATCTGTAGTCACCTAGGGCAGATTTAATGCATCTGGCTACAGTCTTGCTCTGAAACTCCTTTCTTTACATTCTAGACCTAAAGTTTATTTCCTACTTAAATAATGGTTGCTATTTGTTACAAATAAAATAATTAACATTACTTGTTCTGTTAAACAATAAAACTAAATTAATTTTTATTTTAAAACTGAAGTGTATATTTAACAATTATTTATAGTATTATTTTCTAATTTCAAGTAAACTTTTTTCAAATTTGCTAACTGAAAATAACTTTCTTGCAATAATAACAAAGATATATGTTACTTATATAAAATTACTTAGAGAACTTTCAGATCTATTAACTGAAGAACTGTTGTTTTTATCGTTATTTATATTGCTATTTTTAGGTAAAGTTTGATTTTCTTCACTTCTAACTACATCCAATCCAGAATTATTGACTTCCATACAAGACTTTTGTTCAGGAACAGAAATACCATCCTTGGAAAAGTTCATTAGTTAACTAATGTCTATTTTTATAGTAATTAATCATAAAGCAAAACCTTTTACTTAAAACTACAGGTGGTTGTTGTAACTATCAACAAAACACCCCAAACAAGTGGCCACACCCCAAAAACCATATAAAAGAAGGAAGACCTAGAATTTTCTTTTATGGTCAGATAACTTTTTTGCAAGTCCCACATGTATTTTTTTCTAAAATGTTGAAATTGACTACATTTTGATATGCGCCATAAAAACCACATTGAATAAATTAGCTATAATTTCTGAACTGTTTGGTATTATAACCAGACTTGAACAGGAATGGCATGTGATTGCAAGCTGTAACTGACCCTGATAACAATTTTTTTAATTACAATTTGACCACAGCTGCTTTGATGTTTTAACAATTTAAATGGAATTTGAAAAATTGCTACATTATGAATAACTTTTAATCATTGATATTTTCTAAAGTTTTTATCTTATGTGAAGGCTTTAAATAAAACGAAAAATTAATTAAAACTATTGTTTAAAATAGACGCATTTTGTGTAAATTAATAAAAAACTTTATATTTTTTTGTTATATTTTTTTTAAATGTTATGTTATTTTTATTTCATAATCAAATTTTTTTTATGTAGGCATAAATTTTTATTATAAATTTAAATGATCGAAACTATTTTTACATGTCTTTCTAAAAATCTTTTAAACAATTATTTTTTGAAAAAAAAAAATTTTAATTACTTTAAATTATAAATAATTTTAAAACTTGTGACTAGTTGCTTAGAACAAGTATAGGAACATTTCATATAAATTATACAAGAATATAAAATACATGTATTTTATTGATAATTGTAAAAGTTTTGAAGTATTTTGTAATATTTTTATCATACGATTTTTTTTAATCTTTTAAACAAATATTTTATTTAAAAAGAATTTTTTTTTACAACTTTCAATTATGATAGGCATGAATAAATTCAAATCTTATATATAAATTTTTAAATTTGTTATGTGAAAGGCTTATTAATAAAGTGCTCAAATTAAAATTAAATTAAATTGGTGGTTGGCAGTATATTATATTTAAAACTTAGGTGCATTTTATTTAAGTTGTCAAAAAATATTATACCATTTTTTTAATAATAAACCATTTTTTAAGTTGGTTTTATAAATAAAGACAACAAATTTGAATAAATGGTTTAATCTTTAAATGATTGCGCCAATAGGAATTATTTAGTTAATATATTCTAATAAAAAGTTACTTCTTGGGTGCAAAATTCGTAAATAAAAAGAAATGTAAATATAAAATGGTTATTAGTCAGATTTGATGTTGAACAGCTTTTGTTGGTATTATATAATGTTTGATGTTGGAGCTTTTAGTGGTATTATATAATGTTTCAATTGTAGAATCAAATCCACTGATTCAAGGTAAAACCCTCTGCGTTTATTTAAATATATTTCAACTCAACTACTTAAAATCTCATCTTGTTCTTGTACAATAAAATTAGGATCATTCCCAGCTATCAAAATTGTATCTTCCATTGCCTGGTGGTTCATCTTTAAACGTTGATCAAATAATAACACAGTCAATAAACTGAAAATACCTTGTTCAAATTTGAGCATGAAATGCACATTACTAGTTCAACAAAAAGAATCAAGTTTGGGAATATTTTTCTATGATTAAAAAATTTCTCCTATAGCTGTGTTGTTGTGACTCATTATTAATTTAAATGCATTCTATTGGGAGAAAACCATTTTAACTTCCAATCCCGCAGCTTCTATAGGAACTTTAAGTTCGCTTATTAATAAAGATATGCTATCAATTGCTGTATCTAATCAATGAATTGGTTAGATCCCAATTTTAGAAATTGGGGATCTAACTAACTCATTCATTTGAAAACCGTGTTCAACAAAGAGTTAAACCTAATGTCAATCAATGGTATAATAATTTTTACTTGGATAGCAGAATTAATACTATCAAAGTTAAGGCTACAAAAATCTATGTGTACTATGTATTGCAATGCTCAATGTCGATCTCTTAATTAAATTTTAACTCGACTTTGAAATAAGGAGAAAAAATAGTGGTTAAACCATTCTTGTACTTGATTCTAAACTTAAATATATAAGAATCAATAAAATTGTCAATTAATTCATTACTACTTAATATTACACCAAAAGCATTTTTTTTTTAAAAAAAACCAACGATAATGGTTTCTAAGACATCCAAATAGCGCAAATCATGCATAAAAAGCTGTAATCGTGCGACCAATTAGATATTCTAGAAAGCTTAGCATACATTTCTGGTTTAGTATCGCAATCAACAATAGTGTTATTAAAAGTAAAGGCCAGTTATGAATTAACACACATCTTCTGTTTAGGCAATGTGTAAAATATAATATTAAGTGCCTTGGCTGCTTTTTTTAAATTTTTTAATTTAAAAAAATTTAATTTGCCTGAATTATATGAAAAATAAGTAAAAAATTGTTCATAATCTCTAAACTTAACTATGTCATTTAACATTTTTCTTTAATTGCCAAACAGTGCTTAACAGAGTGAACTTTTATTAACCAGAGTCTTTCGTTTTTTAATTTGAATTAAAACCACATTATATTTGTTGGAATTGGTGCTAGCTCAATCTGAATTAGTGCTGATAAGTTTGATTGGTAGGCATTAGTGGGTAAATAAACGTTCCCTGCTTAATTAAAAATGCTGTTAATAGCCTTTTTAAAAGCACTAGCGCCCATACCACCCATATTGTTCATCTTTAGTAAAGATACTAAAAGGTGAGTAGGGATGTTGTCTTGTTCAATACGTACAAGAATCAACTCTTTCTCATCCTTTGTTTTTCTTGCTTGAGAACTATCAGAAAAATCAAGACAAAATTTTTTTACAACGATACAAGCAGCATTAAAAACTGGTATGTTTTCTCTCATGTAAAAATAGAGACAATCAATCGATTAGATGGAAAAGTAACAAATGGGCAAGAATGAAGTTATTGTAATATGCTTACAAAGATGAAGAAGCATCTATTGTCTCGCTTTATAAAAAATAAAAACAGGTATTTACTAAAACATGTAATGATGTAAGTTAATTCATGTTGTGCTACATGTTAGATAAATAAATAAAAGTGTCACCAAATTGACTATTATTTTAAAATTTAACAATTATTTTATAATTTATAATTATAATTAATTATAAATTATATAGCATAATTTTTAATAATATATTTATAATAATATAATTAAAAATATAATTTTTTCATATTGTATCAATTCACTAATTTTAACAAAACTTTTTTAAAATATTTAAATAGTAAAATAAATAACAATAAATATGGATGTTATATAAAAAATAACATACAAAACTTTCAGACCCATCAACTGAACAACTACTGTATTCCCCATTCATTTGATTGGTATTTTTAGGTAAACTTTGGTTTTCTTCATTTCTAACTACATCCAATCCAGAATTGTTGATTTCCGTACAAGACTTTTGTTCAGGAGCAGAAATGCCATCCTTGGAAAAAAAATTTAGTTGATGTATTATTTATGTCTATTTTAATTGTCATTAATAATATAACAAAATAAATTACCATAATAATTGTAGGGAAAATAATTACAATAAATTAAGCTAAATTTTACTAAAGTTGAGAAAAGAAACTGCTACTCAACAATGCCCACCAAAAGCACTAACAGTGTAACAGAGAATACTTCTATTTGTATTATGGCACTGCTAATACTCTATTTTACAGCTGTTGATGGAATTAGCCTCTATGAGAACTACCACAAAGTTCAGGAAACCATACTATCAGCTGGCCTCAGAATCATTAAACTAAGTTTCGCGGCTGTACTTTCATTAGAAAATAACAGGAAGAGTTGCACACTCACTAACAAGGAGGCATAAGCAAAAGTGTGCAAGACTGGTCAACAGAACTTTTTTGGCCTTCTACATGACAGTAGACAGATACAATTAACATCTTCCCAAGATAAGTACCAAGAGCCTCGTTGCACGAGTATTTTAAACCAGTGTTAACTTCTTCTAGCCTTTGCTTAGAAAAGCAAATTCTACAAGGCAGCAAGACATAAAGCAAGTTAAAATGGATTATATGTTAACAGTAGTAAGGTGATCATTCTATGGGTAACTATAAGCTATTTATTTTATGAAGGATAATTTAACTCAAAAAAATGTTAAATTTTAAATTTTAACTGACAATAAAGCGGTGACTGATCATGAAGAGAAGCTTGTCAAAGATTCTAAACCATACCCAAATATTCTCTATGCATAAAACAACAGTGAGAAAAAAATCTATGATCTTCTTTGTTCATTTGAACCTGACAATGGTACCATTACAGCAAATACTAACACAATCTGCTCCATCCTAAACTAACTATTTTCAATCTTTACTTGAAACTGAACCTTAAAAAGAAACCAAAACAATCTAGAAAGAACCAAATTAACTGATGTAGACAGAATCCATCCATGTGTACTATGTAACTAAGCAGCAGCATATGCAACACCACTAAGGCTCATATTCAGACAATCTTTAATGTCAGGTATAATATCTGACCAGTGGAAGAAGTTGAAAATCACTCACATTTAAGAAAGACAGCAAGCTTAAGGCTTCAAATTACCAACCAGTCTCCCTCAATTCAGTACCATGCAAAAGTGATGAAACGAGTAATTAACAAACATATTATAACACATGGTGTAGTAAATAATCTAATTTCCTAGCATCAGCATGATTTTATTCGTAAAAAGAAATGTTTGACTAACCTCCTTGAAGCTCGTTATATGCCTACTACGCCATAGCGGAAATAATTTATTTGAAAAAAAATGTCCTCCAGAAACGGTTTGCATTTTCGAAACCTCATTACTTTGAACAACTATAATCTAAATTTTAAAAATTTTCTGTCAACGTTTTTCAAATAAAAAAGGGGTTAAACAGACAGGTCATGAAATTTTGGTGTTCAAGATAGGTAACTTCCAGAGATCGTGAAAACATTAAATTTTGTAATATTATATAGTGATAGGAGCCTGGAAACAATATACATCTGAAAAATCAGGACCCACTGTCCTGAATGTGGAAGAAAGTAAAAATAATTTTTTATTGTAGTATCTTAAAATAGATCAAATCTGAAAAATTAATTCATCGAAAAAAAAGAATTCTTACCCTTCAAAAATGGCAACCAAAGAAAGTTTGAAACACCCTCTATTTGAGGAAGTTGTCAACTTTATAAGTTCATAACTTTTGAATATTAAAATTTTTTTTACTAAATGAGAATTTTACAGATAAATTTTAGTCGCATTCATAATGGTGGAGTTTTTTCTAAATGCTATTATTGTCCCCTATCCTAACAAATACTTGTACCTTGGGGCCCTAATTTTAGGATAATATTGTTCATAACTCTGAACATCATGATATAAAATACATATCTGGAGGTTACTTATCTTGAAATTGATCTTTTGATATATATTTTTTTTAATTAGAGAATGATTTAAATGACACAAATTAATGGTAACATTTATATTTATTTCCATTTACAATCAATAATAGTTTCTAAATGATACACATATGTTTTATAACATATTTAACTTTAAAGTAAAACTGTTTTAAAGAAGGTATGTCGTATGTGCGTAACAGTGGCTTTAAGCAGGCTTTGCGGGTATTATTTCTTCTAACACATGAACATTTTTTAGCAGTTATGAAATTCTCTAACTTTGAATTGATCACCATGCAGCTTAGGCCTTTGAAAACCTAAAACTTGGTTCCACTGATTGCCAATAAAGTTGCAAATATTTCTCAAAATTATCATAAATTCTGTTTGTATTTCCACAAAGTAAATGAAGTTCCATTGGAGCAAGGATTTCAATAACTTTTACCTCATTAGGCATATCAACTAGTGGAAGGTTAATGCAATTAATATAAGCTAAAAGCTTGGATTTAAAAATATTTACAGGCAGCAAAGAAACAAAAACAACAAGTAATTATTGTGTTATATTGAAAGAAAGGGGCAATATTACAGAGGAATTAGTCTTGCTGGAAGTGAAGATGTGATCTTGGAAGCTTGAGATAAAAAGAAACAAAAAAATGTTTTTTACCATAATTAATCTGTTATTAAAAATTTGCCATAAAATTAGGGCATCAAAGTCAAATTTTTGTTGAACTTGACTAAAATTCCTCTGTAATATTGCCCCTTTCTTTCAATATAACACAATAATTACGGTAAAAAATATTTTTTTGTTTCTTTTTATTTCAAGCCTCCAAGATCACATCTTCACTTCCAGCAAGGCTGCAAGCTACCACTATTGGAGTTGGAAGTTACTGGAAGAAAAAAAATTAAGTTTACATTGCAGATTAAATGTATAAACAACATTTCTCTGCTTTGTATACTTCCTTGTGGAAGTATACAAAACATTGTATACTTTTTTGTGGAAGTATACAAAGTTTCCACAAGAAAATTTATTAATAGATATTATGAACTTTTTTTCATCTGCTGCAATAGCTTAAAAAACATTTTAAAAATTGATTAGTATTGGTCATATTGTATCAAAATGCCAAACATTAAAAAAACTCATTAAGATAATAGAGCCTTAATCTGCCTAATTTGTTTTCAAAAAGATCAGGAATGAGAAAGTTAAAAAAGGAAGTGTGACATAAAACAGAATACATAATTTTTTTTTTAATCATTTGATTTGAACAATAAAAACTTTCCTAATCGCATTTGTACTAAATGCAGATAAGCATTCGAAAAACTTGAACCTTTTATTCTTGATTTAATATTTCAAACTTGAAATTTAGATAAAATATTTGAAATACAAAAACTGAACACATGGATGTAAATTTCTTTTGATATGAAGATAGGTGTCGAATTAATGTAAAGCCATTGGCATTTAACAACGGAAAATTTCTTCAAAAGCCCTTTTTCCAGGCTAAAAAATCCCAATTTTAGAAATAAACAAATACTTATTTTAGAAATAAAAAATACTTATGGACTTAGTAATACACAAAAAGACAAAGTTCTTAGCATATTTAGAAGCTGGAAGGGAAGAGACTTATTTGAAAGCAATGTAAGAGAAAAAATAAATGAAAAAGATTTTTAAAAGGTTTTTAAATGATTATTTTGATGTTGAAGAAATAATTTTTGAAAAAGATTCCAGGCAGTTTATTGTAAAAACGTTTAAGGACTTGTTGAGACAGTAAAAAAGGAAAGAAACTTTTCAAAAGATTATATTCTAAATGTTGGCATTGACGCTAGAGGCAACTTTTTAAAAGTTTGTTTAAATATCAAAGAAAAAATAAAATATCAAAAAAAAAAAAGTTTAGCTATGAGAAAGAAATAGGTAATGAAAAATACAAAGATGATGGTATAAACAAAGTATTTATTATTGGCTCAACTAAAAAAGTTGCTGAATCTCATTCAAATCTTGAGAAAGTTATTTTAAACCTAAATGATATAAAATACTTTTGTGCTTTTGACTCTAATAGTGATTGCTTGCAGTCTTGCTGGAAGTGAAGATGTGATCTTGGAAGCTTGAGATAAAAAGAAACAAAAAAATGTTTTTTACTGTAATTAATCTGTTATTAAAAATTTGCCATAAAATTAGGGCATCAAAGTCAAGTTTTTGTTAAGGAAAGGGGCAATAATACCACTAAACAAAAAACTCTAGTATTATGAACTTGACTAAAATTCCTCTGTAAAATTCTCCTTTAGTAAAAAAAATATTTTAATCTTCAAAAACTATGACCTTGTAAAGTTGACAAACCCCTCAAAATTTTTTTAGATAAATTAATTTTTCTTATAAATTTTGATCAATCTTAAGATTATCTGTTTCTTTCCACATTTTGGATGTCCAAAAATTAGGACCCACAAATGGGTTCTATTTTTTAAGATGGATATTGTTCACAGGCTCCTAACACTGTAATTTTATGTAAAACATTCTTATTTGATACCAGTATTAATATTACAAAATTTAAAGTTTGCATAATCTTTGGAAGTTATCTATCTTGAACACCAAAAATCTATGATCTGCCAGTTTAACCCCCTTTTATTTTGAAAGACGTTGACAAAATATTTTTAAAATTTAGATTGGTTTGAAAATAAAAACCGTTTTTGGTGGATATTTCTTTTCAAATAAATTATTTCTGCTGCAAAGCTACAGTGATGATGTTATCAACACCGAGTTTTGCTAACACATTAATAAAGTTCCACGCAAACGTCTTCTATACAAATAAAAAGCATTCAGCATTCGCAACAAGCTCCTTTTTTGGATTGAAGTGTAGCTCAAAGATTGTAAACAACGGCTTATGTTAGGAGGAAATGTTTCTGACTGAAAGATTGTAAAAAGTAGAGTTTCTCAAGAATTTGTCTTGAGGCAACTATTTTTCATCTTTTTTATTAATGATCCTTCTGTTAGCATTGTTCACAAAATAATGTTATACACTGATATATAAAATAATGTTATACACAATAATATATACAAAATAATGTTATACACTGATGACTGCAAATTTACCAGCACCATAAAGCCTGAATCTGACATCACAACATTTTAGGAAGACATTGACAGAGCAAATACATGGTAAAACACTTGGCTAATGTACTTGAACACTGATAAATGTAAAGGGATGGATGTAGATTGTCCAAAAAAAATTTTAACACATGAGTGCTCCATGGAAAACACTGACAGCATACATGACACACTTGCAACTATTGAATGTGATCTCAGCGTTCTTATCTCAAATGACCTGAAAGTCAGAGCACTAGTTGAAAATGCATTATCTACAGCCAATTGCATGTTAGAAAGGCTCAAAAATCTACTGCTCTACTGCAGAAGCTTAACTTTGAGATGCACACTTTGTGTGACACTTATGTATGTCCAGCCACATCTTGAATTTGCTATTCAAGCTTGGTCCCAGTATCATGATACAAACATTAAATTATTCGAGGATGTTCAAAATTGCTTCACCATGACAATATCATTAGATATATGGACAAAAAAAATGTTTGAAGACATCTTGCTAAAAGAATGCTGTTTACAAAATGATTCAGCAATTCAAGATACACAATAACATAAACAAAATAAATTTTTTAGTTCCACAACACTAATTTATTAGGTGCAGTGTATACATTGTGCAGTGTATGCATTTTAATAGCCACGACAGGAGAGGCTTGAACATCAGTTTTTAAGAGAAAGTGTAGTGAGGTCTATCTATTTTACGAATAGAAATACCAGGTGGCCAGGCGGAATGTAGGTACAATGCGTGAAATTAGTACAAGTGCAAAAGACTTTAATGGTGCCAAAAGTTAATAGATACAATATGAGATATGATCAAAACTATAGTAACTTTACAAAAATTTTAAATTTTTCTTCAAATCATTTATTTACTAATTCACATTTTATCAATTAAATGAAATATGGATGAAAATCTAATAAAAGATTGGGACAACATAATGAAAAGAAAAACCATATCTCAAAAAAGATATTCAGAATGAAATCATTGACTTGATTGGCAATTTCATTAAAAGTATAACTTTTTAATATGTCAGAAAACCCTTGTATTTTTCAATTATTGTTGACTGTACATTAGACATCAGAACATTAGACTGTACATTAGACATCAGACACCAGGAACAAATATCAATACTGGTTTAATATGAAGAGAATAAAAACAAAAATTAAATAAAAGGAAGTTTTCTTAGTGTTCACTTAACTGAATATACAACAGGACTCGAGTTAACAAATGTGGTTATTGACTTTCTGGAAAAAAACAACTTGTTATTGGAAAACATAAGGGGTCGGATCTATGGCAATGGCGAGAATATGCAAGGCATAAAAAAAAATGAACAGGCTAATATTTTCAAAATAAAACGTTAGCTTTTATTATTCTATGCTGCAGAATAATCTAGTAGTTGTTGATTCTGTGAAATGTTTATCTAAAATTACAATGTTTTTAACATCATTGACAAGCTTACAATTTTTTTTTATGCCTTAACAAAAAGTTATTATTAAAATTTACATATCCATTTTTAACTATTAAACCATTAAATGATACAAAGTGGGAAACCCATATTAATGCTGTTAGAACTTTTTGCTTTAAAATACCAAAAAGTTGTTTGCTAATATAATAAGTGCAAAGATTACAGCAGAGCCAATTGCTTTAAATACATATACCCAACCTTTAATTTTTTATGTTTGATTGCAATATGGCATTAAGTTTTTTATGAACTTAATTTAACAAGAAACTAACTTTGTTTTTTTTTTAACAATTTTACGGCGTATATTGTTTTTTTTTTGCATAAAAACACTGATTTTCTGCTAAATTTTTCCAGGACAAGGGGTACCGCCGCCCAATTTTTTTACCTAAAATAACCTCAGTATATATAAATATATATATATGTATATATGTATATATATATACAAATATATATACCCAGCAAACATTGTTTTAGTATATTTGCAGTGAACCTATATAGGCATTTTTTAGCGGCTCATTGCAGTTTTGCTCATCGGTTTCTTAGTGGACTATTAGTGGCAGCCACCATGAATGGCAAGCTGATATTTTCCGACATTTTAATAGTGGCTTGTCATCAGCTAGCCACTTTTGGTGGCACCCACTAATGATCTGCTAAGTAACCAATGAGCAAAACTACAGCATTCCGCTCAAAATGCTTATACAGGTCCAATGAAAACACGCTATGGCATGTTTGCTGGGTATGTATATACACACACACACAAATATATGTATATATATATATATATATATATATATATATATATATATATATATATACATATATATATATATATATATTGAGTATATACACACACACACAAATATATATATATATATATATATATATATATATATATATATATATATATATATATATATATATATATATATTGAGTATATACACACATACACACACACAAATATATATATATATATATATATATATATATATATATATATATATATATATATATATATATATATATATATATATATATATATATATATATATATATATATATATATATATATATATATATATATATATATATAGTGAAAACTAAACAATTATTAAGATACATTTCCATAACAGTAACAGTAATGACAAAAATTATATAAAAAAAAATTTTTTTTTATAATTATTTATAATAAAATTACCTTTTTAACATCTGTGTCAGCTACAGTATTTGATAAACTTTCTCCATCTAAATTAGTAAAATTTAAAAAAGCGTGTGAATGAAAATGTCATTGTATAGAAAAATTTCTACAAACTACAATTCTACAAATATTAACAAGTAGGAGAGTAACTAAACTTGTAAAATTCAGATTATAGTTATACGAAGTTACACTGCAGTTTTTATCTTTTACTCAGAGTTATTAGTGTGCACTCTACTTAGTGAGTTTTTGTTATTATGTTTTTGTTTTGGTTTTGTTTCTCAGTTTTTATTCAGACTTTATTCTTTTGTTCTCCAGTTTAATCAGTTGTATGATCAGATTTTATATATATATATATATATATATATATATATATATATATATATATATATATATATATATATATATATATATATATATATATATATATATATATATATATATATATATATATATATATATATATATATATATATATATATATATATATGTATATATATATATATATATATATATATATATATATATATATATATATATATTGTGGATTTTAAAAGACTCAGTTTAGCACTGAATTTAACTTTTAACGATGAGAGTAAAGTTATATTTACTCGCATAACAATTTTCTGTTATGCAACAAAATTCATAACAAGGTCTGTAACAGTTCTTTTTGATAATACTGCTAATAATACTGGACAAATAAATGTTGGTAAAACTAGAAAAGTTGTTATAAACATAGATCATCCAGATCATATTTTAAAAATCCGGAAAATTGTTTGGCTAGAATATCCGGAAAAAACCTGGAATATATTTTCCTTTATTTTTCTGTTAATTTTGCTTTTAACTGAGTTATTTCAACTTATTTTTCAAACTTACTTTAATTTTGCATAATGATGAGAGAAAAAGTATAAAAAAGAAATATATTACAAAAATACATACCTAAATTTGTGTGTATGGAAAACGTTTTGGATATCCTGAAAAACTTAAAGTTCAGAAAAATATTTGGATATCCAGAAATGTGGAAAAAGATAATCCCTGTAAAAAGAAACTACGCCTTATTGGATGCACAATACATCAAAATGAACTTCCATTAAGAGTTCTTTTTTAAAAACTAGCACAATATCTGAGCCAAGAAGCTTCAACCAAAAAATGTATCAAAATATTCAAGATAAAATTCAAGTTTTGATGGTTGCAAGATGGCAATTCTAAGCTCTCTATTTCCCTTCTCTGTTTATATACTATAGAAAACAAATAATGTCTTTAAAAAAACTTCTCTATTTTATTGTTCAGTTTAGTGCTCCAGCATGGTTGGAAATAAAAAATCGTCAAAACTTCATGACTCTTTGCACCTTATGTTTTCTACTAATGCCAACAACAATTCTCAATTAAAGAAATTGGAAATAATTTACAATGACATTGACCTGAAATTTCAGGCTTCATATTTCACTCTCAAAGTGAATAGCAACAAGGTAAAACTAATATCGGAAGCATCCCAATGTGTTTATCAGTACGCAAATCAACACAGTTGCATATTAACCAAATTACAAAGCAGAAAGAAGTGTAAAGCACAAACATTTCACAAGAAGATTATTACCATTTTAATGAAAATGTCTTTTAATGGAATAAATGTATTACTTTAAAACATATCCATAATTAAAATGTTGACCAAAAAGATGAAATCAAAATGTTTTAAATAGGGTTTCTCAAACGGGATCCCGGGATCCCGTTTTCCCGGGATCCCGGGGATAAAAGTAGCAGCGGGATTTCCCAGGATATCACTCTTATATCCCGGAATATAATTTTTTTTAAAATAATTTTACATATGATAACTTTGAACTAATTCGACCAAAAATAAGAAAAATATTATTGCATTTAGTTGTGTTTTATGTGTTCATACCTTATATTAAAACCTAGCACAACAAGAAATGCTATTGAAACTATCTTAAACTAAAAAGAAATGCATTGCAATGCAATGTTTTCTTTTTTCTCATTATTATAAAATATGAGTAAAAAATAAAAAAGATTTCTTGCGACGAAAACAGTAAGTTTAATTTTTAAACTTCTAAATTATTGAAAAGTTAAACTTTTTCTGTATCAAATTATTGAAATATTTAATAATTTTTGTATTTAAAAAACGGCAAACAAACACATAAAAGTCATACGTAAGATAACATACATATGTAAGAAATATTTGTAACTTTACTTTTAGTTGTTCTGCGATTCAATTTAGTTATACTATGTCAATTGTAAATGGATCCAAAGCATGGCAGTATTTTTGTAAAGAAAAATCTGGCGAATCTGCAATTTGCAAAAAGTGCAATGTAAAGATAATGTGCAAAGGATTTTCGACCAGTGGGCTCCTACGTCATTTAAAAAACACACATAAAGATTTGGATCTAAATATGAAGCGTCTACTTGAAGATACTGGTTCGGAAAATAAAATTGTTCAAAAGAAAATAACATTGTTTGTTAAACAGCAGACTATCGAGGAAATTGTGTCAAAGCTAGCAAGGGTGGATGGCTTCTCAATAAATGCCATAACAAAAAGTGAATTCATTAGAAAATCATTGTCTGAAAAAGGCATGTTATTACCAAAAAATCCATCCCATGTTATGGGTATGATAAAAAAACAATATGAATTAGCTAGACAAACTGTGGTTTTAGAGATAACAAAAGAAATTTCTAGCGGGTCACGATTTTCTTTATCGTTAGACGAATATACGTCTTTAAAAAATCGACGTTATTTAAATGTAAATTTACACTTATCAACAAAGTTTTGGAACCTGGGAATGACTCCGATAGCTGGATCACTTCCTGCAGAAAAAATTGTTGATCTAGTTGAAAATAAACTGTCAGATTTCAGTTTATCAATTAAAAAGCACATCATAGCTAGTGTCACTGACGGAGCATCCGTAATGAAAAAATTTGGACGGCTAAGTGGTATTGAACATCAGCTGTGTTATGCCCACGGACTTCATTTGGCAGTATGTGATGTTCTTTACAAAAAGTCAGACTCTTCAGCAAAATATATTGAATTTGAATCGCAGTTTCAAGATTCCGATGAAAATTTGAGTGATTACGACGAGTTTGATGATGTATTTGACTGTAATGATGAGTCACACAGCTCAACAGGCGTTACGTTTATTGATGATTTACAAAATAGCGTAAATATAGCCTTAACAATTCAGAAGGTTCGAAAAGTGGTTCGAATGTTCCGTAAATCACCTCTTAAAAATGAAGTTTTACAAATGTACGTAAAATCTATGTTTAATAAAGAGCTTAAGCTGATATTAGATGTCAAAACGAGGTGGAATAGTCTTGTTGCAATGCTAGAAAGATTCCTTAAAGTAAAAACATGTATACTAAAAGCAATGATCGATTTAAAAGAAGTTCTGAATATCTCCGAAGATGAATATGCGATTATGAACGACATAACATTTTCTCTTCAACCAATAAAAGTTGGAATAGAAAGACTTGGTAGAAGTAATGCTACTCTACTTGACGCAGAAGGTGTAATGATATTCATCTTAGACGATTTGACGGAGAAAAAAAATTTTATAGCTAATAAACTGCTTCAATCTGTGCAGCAGAGAATTGAAGAACGCAGAAATGCCAATTTAATTGGATTACTAAAATTTTTAAACAACCCAATTAGTTATAATCAGGAATCAAATATCAACTCCAAACTACTCTTACCGCCCAAACATGCATTAAAAGCAACAGCAAAAAAAATTTATACCAGGTTGTACATAGAGGATGCTAGCCTTAGTTCATCAAATAATGAAATAGTTGAAGTGAGTCGTGATAATGAAAGCATGGTTTCTGACCCGTCAATACCTCAACCTGTTGCTCCATATTTATTAGGCAAAAGTATTTTGACGCTTGAACAAAAATTGGATGCGACTATTTGTAATGTCAAACAAGTAGAAAAAGCAGCTCTAGAAAACATTAGCAATTTAAAAAACCTCACAAAAGAAATCAAACTTTTTGAGGCAACTGGAAAGCGTAGCGAAAGTTTAGAAAGAATATACTCAACATTAATGACCATCAAGCCGACATCAATTGAATCAGAAAGGGCTTTTTCTGCCGCGGGTCTATTTATGGGAAAAATTCGTTCACGATTAAGTGACAAATCAATTGATTGTTTATGTTTTTTAAAACAATATTTCATTTTAAATAGTAATATAGATTAGCGTGCTAAGATAAATTTGTGTCAGAAACCGCTTGTTATTATATTAAAAATTATGCCGGGAAATCCCGGGAAATCCCGGGATAAATAAGTTACACACCGGGAATCCCGGGATGCTAAATTTACGGGAAATGAGAAACCCTAGTTTTAAATCGTGAAACTAATGCTTATTTAGGTTTTTATAGATACCCATAAAATTAGACTCCAAACAGTTAGAAAATTAATTTCAAATAAATAATGTAAAAAAGAAAAAGAAATTTTTTAAATTTAAATCAATCTAAATATTATTTTTAAAATTTGTTTAAGCTCAAAATTATTCAAGATTAAACTTGCAAGCGCCTCTTTAATCAAAATCTCACAAAATTTGAAAGGAATTTTATTTGAATAGCCTCTAACTACTGCAAAATTATGCAATATTGAAATTGACCTACTCTAATGACCTACACACACAATAAAAATACATTTATACTACGAATATAACTATATATATATATATATATATATATATATATATATATATATATATATATATATATATATATATATATATATATATATATATATATATATATATATATATATATATATATATATATATATATATATTAT